TAATAATAAACAAGAGGATTCCACTTTGTCAGAAACAAATCCACAGAATAGTGTTGCTAAGCTAAAAGAGGATGACCTAATAAATATTTTAACACACAGGGATATTAGATTTATGAATTTTGATACAACAGGCTCAGCAGTTGTAACACAGGCACATCACACAGAGATTGTTAAAGTTGTAGCACATGAATTTCACATGGTTCAAACGACGCCTTCTGAATGGATAAGAGGTCAATCGTTCCTGGTTGGTGTATTCACCTCTACATAAAACAGCCTACTGCTTTTGTGTCTTCTTTTTTCACCTACATTTATGACATCCGATAGTCGGTCTGCTTTGAAAACACAGGGTGGATTCTCTAAATGGAAAAAAAAATGAAAAGTTAAATGCCCATGAAAATAGTGACAGTCATCGTGAGTTATTTGCTGCTTGGAAAAAACTGAACGGCAAATTCGTCTTCAAAGTGGCATTGGTGAAGAGCTGCAAAAGCAAATTCAGCAACAAAAAAATAACTGGAGATATGTACTTCGATGGTTGCTGGATTGTACACAATATTTAGTTTCTCAAAATCTTGCATTCCGTGGTCATACTAAGGATATAACCTCAAACGAAAAACCTGGAAATTTCTTGTCATTTTTGTAGTTATTAGCAAAGTATGATCCAGTAATGAGAGAGCATTTAGAGTGTGTTAAAAACAAGCAAACGTCAACATCTTATCTTTCTTCTGAAATCCAAAATGAGTTTATAAATCTCATGGCTTCACATGTGCGAAATTATTGTTTGTCAGCAATTCGTAGAAACATATACTATGGTATTCTGTTTGATTCCACACCTGATTTAGCCCATCATGAGCAATTGGCCCAAGTGATTCGGTTTGTTAATCTTGACTTTAAGACAAGAACAGTAGAAGTCAAAGAGTCATTTATTGACTTTATACAGATAAAGGAAAAAGACGCTGCCAATATTGAGAAAACAATAAGCACAAAATTAGAAGAGGATGGAGTGATTGTTGTTCACAATGTTATGATAATGCTGCTGTCATGTCAGGTTATCTGTCAGGCGTTCAACAAAGAATTCTGAACACAAATCCAAAAGCAGTCTTTATAAAATGTGACAACCATAGTTTGAACTTAGCATGTCTTCATGCTGCAAGTCAGGAAACAACAGTTATTACCTTTTTTGGTATAATTGAAGCCATTTATAATTTCTTTGCTCATTCAAAAACTCGATGGGACGAACTGCAGCAGGAGCTTAAGATCTCTGTCAAGCGTGAATCAGAAACACGGCCTCTTATCCATCACGGGGATTCGAACCCCGGATTTTAGCATTGTAAGTCTATAAACTTACTACGGCAGATAGCCCATTATGTACAAATCTAGTTTAAACAAATAAACGTACAAATAGCCCATTGTGTAGCTTTGAGCTTAACAACAAACAAACGTACAAATAGCCCATTGTGTAGCTTTGAGATTAACAACAGACAAACGTACACATAGTCCATTGTGTAGCTTTGAGCTTTCAATGTGTGTCGCTTTTGATGAGCGTGCGTGAAACTACAAAGCTTATAAATATCATGCCTTTGCATTCATATGTTTGTACCAATTATATATATATATGTATGTATTAGGAAATAAAATTTTTCAACACTGGAGACAACTTCACGTGTTTTAATTTATTATACGAAGATATGGTCTCATTAAATTTGACATATTTATTTTGAAAATGCTATTCAGTTTAAACACTCATAACAATTTTATCACCTGGTAAGAACTGACAAAGACAAATGTACTAGAACAAATAAGCTTCGCTTGTCTAACAATTTCTGTGAAATTAAGACGTCACCTACACGTACAACGCGTTAGTAATTTTTGCTTATTTCCCACTATGGCTTCTATAGATGGTTGCATGTATCGAGCTGCATTCTTTAATCTTTGGCGCACACCTTCAAGATTGAGTGCACTCCTAAAATAAAGGACTTTACAGTGAGCATTAACAAAGAAGTTTCGTTCAAAAACAATGAATACCGTGAATGTTATGAAGATACGTGCACAATACTTTGACCGAATAGCCATGATCCTATGTATTGTTTGCACTCGCTAGCTTATCTAACTTTACACAAGATGTCAAACCTGTATGACACGAGACAATTTTGTTTTCGCGTGTTCAGTACTCAACAATGTGAATGAAGATACCCATATAGAAATATGCAACACAAAGAGAACATCTTAGACAAAAGATTAGTCTCTAATAAAAAATTCTTGTCTTAAGTATTCATTCAACCAACAAAGGCTAGTGAGGCACATCTTACGTGAAAGATTCAGAGAGAGAATTGCTCAAAAAGGTTTAAAAGCTAAAAAGCGTTTTATTTTTAAACATTATTTAGCTATTATGTTAAGAAGGATGTTACTTTCTGACAATGAAAAATGTTGTATGTTTGAATTAAGATTTTTTAATCCTAAAATCTGCCATAGCATATCAAATCTAATGTAACATGTTGAAATCTAACATAGCAGGTTGATATTTGATGTAGTGGGGTTAAATCCGAAGTAGAATATCAAAATGATATGTAATATTTTTAAATCTATCATAGGACATCAAAATCTAGCATGGATTGTGTAATTCTGATATCTAAATTTAATGCATCATGACTAATTCTGAGATATAAGTGTTGAAATCTAATGTATCTTGGCTAATTTTGGCATATATGGTTAAATCTAACAACATTACACAATTAAATATGTGGAAACTCAAACTGATGTCTTTGTATCTGTACATATAGATAAAGTAGAGTTGTGAGGAGCTAGCCAAACTAATTTCAAAAAAGTTGGTAGAGGAACTAGGGTAGAACCTCAAAAGATTGAGGTTAAATAAATAAGTCTAACATACAAATGCTTTGAATTTGGCAGCTATTTCAATTGTAATGCCTTATCACTGCAAATAATGGCTCAACAAGATGAGGAGATCAGTTGGTAGCAAAATAGGTGATGAAAGTGGCATTTAATATTACTTGTAGCACAGGTTTCTCTTCATCAGACAAACGGTTTATGTGCTACAGCTCAAAATTTATAACATTACTTTTCAAGTTTGATAGCATTGCAAAGGAACTTTACATGTCTAATATAAAAGTAGGTTTAAAACAAAGTAACAAACATTCATGGTTTATTGAAAGTGTTAATTTTTGAATTGCTAATACAAATATATCTTCAATGTTAACCTTGTAAAAAATGAACATTATACAGTAAACTTTTATATATTGCATTTATTTAGTAATTAAGCATTATATGACCAATCATTCTGCTCTTATAACTGAATCCTATTCCATACAAGTTTCTAGACAAAGAAAATGCATCACAATTAACACTGCTTTAATGATAGTTTCAGTAACAAAATGAAAGAACTGAAAGGATTAAAAAATATTTTCATTGAAGACACATCAATAAAAATGTAAACAGTATCAATTATGACAGCAATAGCCCAGCTGGTAGACTTAGAAATGTAAAAAGAAGTCTGTAATAAAAAAAAACTCCTTTGAGACACACGTACATTTCAGGAACTGTTTTTAATCAGTTTTTAAACACATGCACATTCCTAGTATAATTTTAAATCAGTTTTTAACTATTCAATAATAATTCCAGTAAACAAAATTTTAAAGACAACACTTTCAGGAGGTTATGGTTGATGGCAATATTTCAACTAGAAACAATGAATATAATAATAATACTAAAAAAAAACGACTGACTGTATTCCCATCATATAAACTGGAGAAAACTGGGAAACTTATTTGCAAAATTAAAAGCAGTCTGTAATACATTTATGGATATCAAATAAATTTATTAAAATTATTATCATCATTAAAGGTGATAAATTATATATTGTGAAGACACATGTATATAATTCATTCCACTGGTCTCACATTAATATACTTTATGATTGTTGTTGTTGTTGTTGTTTTCAATTTGCAAAGCTACACAATGAGCTGTCTACACTCTGTACATTGCAAGGGATCAAACCATAGATTTATTAATGATTTCAAGTAAACTCAATGAAATAAGATTTCAAAATGCAACATATGAAGTATAGTTACAATAATTTATCAACTTGATTTATACTCAGGGATTAAATTTGGTTATTGTAAAAAAACCAGGGCTTGCATCAACTTTAATTTTGAAAAAATTAATTTTAAAGAGCATACAAGCATTAAAAAACTCATATTACAAGAAAGTGTGATTGCTGCACTACCTATGTACAAATTTAAAAAATTTATACTCAGGGATTAAATTTGGTTATTGTAAAAAAAACAGGGCTTGCATCAACTTTAATTTTGAAAAAATTAATTTTAAAGAGCATACAAGCATTAAAAAACTCATATTACAAGAAAGTGTGATTGCTGCACCACCTATGTACAAATTTAAAAAAGAAGCAGTAGGTATAACAACTATTTTGTCAAAATTAGTAGAGAAAGTTTTGTCAATAAATACTATTGCCATGTTTGAAAATATTTTTAAAGGATGACAAGTTACAAAATATATAAAAAATTTAACTTCAACAGTATATAGTAATTAACAAAAGAATTACAGGACACACACATCCATCTATTGTACAAATACGTATAAAAGGTGAAACTAAGTACGTCATATTAACCTGTCTTACAATTTGTTAGATACGTGAAATATGTAGACACAAAAATCAACTAGAAGGAATAATGTATCAAAGAAAGTTCAAAATCAAAATTATTTCTTAAAAAAGTTGTGTTTTAAATTATTAGTTCACCACATCAAATATTTAAGAAAAATATGGATGATTTGAAAATATCTTTTACCTGGAAGTAGCACAAAGAAGCTGAATAACATTTATATAAAGACCAACTTTTTCTTGTGTATTCTTAGAAAATTATAATACATCTAGTAGTAATTTGACAGTGTTCTGAAAACCAGATAACTTTTGATTACCAAATTCATTTAATTTCCTAGTGTATAAAATCAGTTTAATAAAGAAATGTATATCTGAGAGATCAAAACATAAATTTATTTTCAAACTGAATATTAGAATATACCACTTTATACACACTTATAAGGTCAAACTTTCTAGACAATAAATGGCTAGAAACAAATTAGAACAATCGTACAGTATCTTAAACATATCAAAACTTGTGACCTACTTCAAATCTTTATTACTTTATTTTTCTTAATAATAAACTTTTTTTAAAAGATACAAATTCAGGTTTAGTTGGCTTGAAATTTAAATTTTTTTTAAAATCAACAGTCAACTTTGAAGGATGTTTAAAATGTAACAATGTTAAATTTAATGAAATTGTTACTTAATTTTATATTGACTAGACAACACTGTTTCATACTTATAACAAATTAACAATACACAGGATATTCATAAACAATTAAGGCACTTTTATTTGTGGAATTTCTTATACCAGTATGATTGTCATCGATTAATAGTATAAAATTAAAATAAGAAATATTGTTGCCAAAGGGACAGAAAGTATCCCATAAATATCACACACGTAAATTACTGTGAATTATCTTTAGATAGAAATCCACAAAGATGAAGAAACGTAAAATGTGCAAATTAAATTACAAGGTTACAGTACAACTTTTATGGACTATGATAAACAATAAGTGATAACAAAACTTTATAATATGATAAACTATATCACCCGATCCTCAAGATGTAATCAAATCCAAATAAACATTCATAGCTAACTGTTAAAAAACACATTGCATCAAAAATCTAAATCCTTTCCTCATTTGAAAATAGAATGTTAGCTTCATTCTATTTTTTTTTTTAATTCTTATGTACAGAATAAATCAGTATTGTAAATTGTCTTAATTAAAAATGGAATGTTCATTTTTGTTTCAATAAAAGAAAAAAAACGTTTAAAATCACATGTAAAGTGCCTTTCACCTGTCAACAGATTCTTATTATTTTATTTGCCTGATTTAGGCCTCTGGCCAAAATGTTGTAAATGAACTTCATTTTTTGTTTGAAAGGTGAAGGGACTCTATCTCTGAATTTACTTTATTTATGTTGTTTTGTTTTATTTAAACATATGTATAAGCACTCTCAGAAGAGCACTAAAAGACTTAAATCAAGAACGTTAGTTTCTTCTAGTTTATTCAAAGCCAAACACCCTACACTCCTCAACAGCAAAAAGCAGCTTCTCTTGAAGAATCTCAAAAGATAAATACGGTGGAAGGCCAAGCCGGTTGAAACACGTGTGTGCCCTGCAGACAAATAAAAGATAAAAAAAAACTGCAAGTCCAATAACATTCATAAACACAACTAGAGCTTCAAATATGAGCCAGTTAACCATTGACTTGGACCAGTAGTGTAGTGTTTGTTTACATATTACAGATACTTACAGTTTAGGCAGATAGAGAGAAGCACCTAATGAAACTGCAGTAATATTCATAGAAGCCATAAATTTGAATAATAAATGTACATTAATACCACCACTAATAAAACATATAAATAGTGGTGATTACTAGCAGTGATGTTCATAAATGCTACAGAAATTAATAAAATTTTACATTTATAACACCACTAATAAAACAACTGAATACTCTTGATTACTGGACTTTTACCTGTACAACCAAAACTTAAAATATAAAAGTATAAAATAGCAAAAACAGCAAATCAATTTGTAATGTTTATTTTTGAAAATTCTTTCTTTTTTTTATCCTTCCTTCATATTACAAGAAAAAACAAACAGCAATATTTTTTCCATTAATGTTAATCTTACCTTGGTAAGTCAGTTGGTTGACCCCATTTTTGGACACAGAACTTTTTAGGTCCATTGCTACCTCTCAAAGCAACAAAACCCTCATAAGGGAGTCTTGAAGTTCCAGTGACAAATTGGAGAACCCGTAGACGTTGTTGGTTGTCAAAGTTTTCAATGGCTTCCCAAAACCAAAGGACCACTTGATGATCCTTCTCATAACCTTTACAAAAATTTTAAGTCATTGGAAAACATTTTTTTTTTCAAAATGAAACAGTTAAAAAATATGAAAGTATTCATTTATGTTTTTGAATTATGCTCTTTACATGTTTATACAAATATTCAAGCAAATTGTTACAGTTAAACCTGAGTCACAAAAAATACTTAGTCCCATTTTTTGGGCTCCTTATAATTCTTTTGAAGTTTATAATTCATACATTTTTTCTTTTTTGGGGGTGAGAGGATCAACAGTTTCCAAACAAAAATTACAGTTAGTTATTAAAAAATTATAGAAGGAATTAAAAATCCATTAAAATATAGGTACAACTAAGAATTACTATATAGATATAATGAGTTATATAGTTTTTCTTTGAACTATTCATATCTCAACTATACCACAAGAATTTAAATATTTTATGCCAGACCCAAATTTCATTTTTTAAAGCTAGAAGGAGAACTGATAATGAGCATCCTATATAATTTTGCATATTAAATAATAATCTATTTTACACTCCTACCATTTCACAAGATGTGAAGAATTTAGTGCTATTTTGTATCATGTATTCTCTAAAATGAAGTAACATGACTGCTATTTTACTTTATGTTTTCCTTTACTATGGAGAAGTGTTACTCCAAAGCCAAGAGATACTTGTGTAGCTCCAAATACTTTTGAGGTGCTTGTAAGCTTTGTAATCTCATAAAAAAAATTCACTCAATATTTTGTGTACATATTTTCTAGTTGTCTTCAATCCATCCAACAGTTACATTTTAATACAGCTCAAGTGATGGCAATAGACTTGATGCTGCTTTTTTTTACTCTAAGATTAGGCCACAAATAAAGGAAAGTTCATTGCCTTGCAACTTCCATTCAGGTATATGACGTGCATTAAACACACACCTATATTTGTTAACTTTTGAGATGCTAATGTATACCACTTGAACTACCAATGATGTGTCATTAACTTGATTTTTTGTACTTTTCCCAACAGTCATAGCTTGGATTGTCAAAGCTTTTTAAATAATGCTATTTTAAAGATCAAGGTTAATAATGTATACAAAGGTCTTCTTCACACTTTAGCTACAGAGTCACTTGAGTTATTTCCTATAGTTAATGCTCTACTTATCTTCATTTGCACAACTGTTTCTTGTTCATTCCTAATATAACCACGCAGGTTTTTGAAAACCAAGAATTACAAATTCAGTTTTCTCTTTCTGTCCATTTTGCCTTTTATTGTAAAGCTTATTTTTATATACATATATATATATTAAATTAGCTTTATTTCCAGATATTGTTATATTTTATTCTGAGAACTAAACATAAGCTTTACATACTTAAAAGCAAAAAAATAACAACTGTCATATGCTTCGTTAGAATGTTCTGTGCTATGATACAGACTATATTGAAAACAAATATAAAGTTAATTTTGTATTATGTCACATAATCAAGCTGTGGGTCATATAAGTAATATATATGATAATTTTGTACAAAGCTAAAAAAAGAGGTATTTGCATTAGCCATCCCAAATGTTAAACTGACAGATTAGATGGAAGACAGCTAGTTATGGAGTTTCATTAACACTCTCATAGTACAACCATAATGTGTGGAGCATGATTTTACTGCAAACCATGAATCCTCAGATTCACAATCCAAGCACAGTAATCAATAGACAATTCCTAGTCCTTAATCAACAGTAAAAATGGAATGAATTCGACCTGTATAAGTTAGAAACAGCAAGAAATATCATGTACAGATCCTTTAGGACTAGTTGTTTACCAAACTTTAAACTGATAACCATATAAAGTGTAAAACAACAAAATTAAGTGAAAAATATAAAGCTTGTAACTAATGGTTACATAAGTTATACAATGGTCCCTGATTTACTAAAAGGCTTTACAATTTTGAAAAATATTTAATGAAGTACATTGTACTGGTACTTAATTTGTTTTTTGTGATGTACTGCATCTGCCTATGGTTTAAAAGTGGATGACATATCTGCCTTTGAGTTGAGACTTTCTTTATATTACCATGCTTAAGTTTCATCCAGCCTCTAAACATCTGGCCAAATTCCACCCTTACAAAACAGTGAAGTGAGAATTGAAAACTGTGCTAATCAGTAGACACCATAACCTCTTTGGCTTAATCATCTGCTTTGTTAACAACTTCATTCATATCCTGACTGACCTCACTTTTCACTTCTTCAGAAAAATTATCAAAACTGATTAGAATATTTTACACTTTTTTTAAAGCACTGAAATTAGAGTGCAAATTACCTTAATTTGAATATATTTTATCAACACAATGGCTAGCCAATTACCTAAATTAAAAATAATATATTCTAGTACAACTTAAAAGTATAAATGCTTACCATTCTTAGCCAAATTTACAGATATTTTCTTGATTTGCAAATATAGTATAGCCTAAAAATTCCTAACTTAAGGATTAAATGGCTACATTAAAAAAATCATTTTACAATTGTGACAGTTTCATGTACAATAAATAATCCCCAAAATTCCTTTTATTAGTTAACTTTTTCTAATTTACAGGTAGAAAAAAATATTATGGTTCAATATCTTTTGAATGAATTCCTGTTTATTGATTGGAGTAAATGTAAAGGTTATGATTTTCTTTCTACTGTTATTGAATACATTTTGTCTATAATACAAGTACACATTACAGTTCTGTTAGATTCTTTTTTTTGTGTATTTATAAGCATTTGAATGTCATTATGGCATGAAATTATTTTACAGCATATGTCAATTACTGTTCAAGCTACTTTTGAAATTTGACTTAATGCTATATGAAACCTAGCTGTGACCTAAAGATCAATGTTAGGCCAAACATGTCCCATGAAGTTTTTACATTTTTCATTTATCCTTGTTGCTGTAAGACAAAGATCCAAAATTACCCAGCACATTTCCATTTCACTTTCTTCTACAACCACAAACAGGGCAATCTTCAGAACATCATTAAGTACATAATGCAATGGCAAACAATTTACACACACACACACAAAATAGTAACTTAAATTAAATAGCATTATATATTATTATTATAGCAAAAACAAAGCTTTAAAATTTCACATAAATACATTACATATTTATTTGCAATGTACTTACCAAGTTAGGTGGAAGATCAAAGTTATGAAAAATTTGCACACCATTATAATTTGCACATGGTAGTCTGTAACTAGTTAGATAGTATTTCAAAAATATATGTGTGTGTCAAACAAGTAATTCTCAACATTCCTAACCGACTTAAAATAAAGGGAAAAAATTTTGATTTAAGCAATAATTCTTTATTAGTCTACAAAATAATTAAATATAGCAAAACATTATATGTAAATTAAGCATAAATAGACTAATCAAATATGTAATAAGGGATAAAGTATATATTACATAATAAAGGCAGTCTGGAGTGTGAGATATATAACAGAATTTAGACAAAGTAACAACAAAGTTCCCACTTCTGTGAATGTCATTTTACATTGTAACAATGAAGAATGAGCTATTACATTCTCGTAAACAATATTTAAGTTTGTTAATACACCAGGTAAGTTAATGAATTTTGTATTTATATGGTAGTTTGAGTTGTTAAAAAGGTGCTTATGAACAAGTGTTAATGAGTTAATCCTTTAGATTAGTTGGTAGAGCACTCTCTTGGCATGTAATAAGTTGGTTTTAAATCTGACCCAAGGAAAAAATAAATAAGTTTGATTACCACATTTCTAACAAATATTTCCCTGATATATAATTACTTACCACAGCGATATTCAGTGTTAGCTTTCCAGTCTTCAATATCAACATCAATTGTGCCAGAAATCACAAGTTCCAAGTCTTGTGCATCAAACATCTTCAAAAAACGTGGTTCTAAAATCTGTTTTAAATCAAAGGTTTTCTGAGTTTCACCATTAGCAACAGGAAACATTAATAGATAACTTAAACATTTATAAGAATACTTTGTGACACAATAGATTAAAAAAAAGTTAACACTCATTCATAGTACAATATTCCCCCACCTTCACTATTAAAGCTAAAACAAAATTTGTCAATTAGATTAATAAAAATGTCTACGTATACAAAATACTAACTGGATTTCTTCAACTAATGCTTGGGTAAGGAAGTACTATATAATATAGTTATTAAATACAGTCTTAAGTCTAGAAGCATGTCAAGCATATTTTCATCAGAAGAAATAGTAGCCTTTTGGGAAGCTGTTTAGTATAAACAAATCAGTTATAAAGTTAACTGCTTGATTAATGAAGAAAAAATTTAAGTTCTCATCAAACAACACATATTGAGCTCTTTGACGTGAAAGAGCCATATCATTCAGAATATTATCTCAATGAATACATATTGAGTAAAATAGTAAAAAAAAATAATTTCAGTATAACAGTATTTCAATACGATGGAAAAATGAAGAGTATGATATTACCATAATATCCGAGTCACAGTACATAGCAGGTTTTTATGCTTTATGGCTGAATTCCTTGAATAACATATATATTTGATGAATTAGCATATACAGGGTGATTCCAAAAATTTGAACATTTGTATAAGTTTATATTTTTTATTTCAGTCTCCATAAATATCTATGCATGTCTTAAAGCAGTCAAATGTTGCATCCAGAGCTCTAGAGCATATCCCAGGTGGTATTGATTGTATGACTTCTGTAATCCTTTCCCAAAGATCATATTCATCCCGTGGCTACGTAGCATACACACGTTCTTTAAACACACCCCACAGCCAAAAATCACACACTGTTAAGTCTGGTGAACAGGTAGGCAATCTCAGAAGATCACCTCTTCCAATTCATCTCCTGGGAAAAATCCTGTCCAGATAGTCACGAACAATACGAGAAAAGTAACAGAAAATCCCGTATTTTTGAATCACCCTGAATAGAAGCGTTACGTTTAGACAACATAGATATAATATAACAGTAATATAGCCATGGAAGAATGTCTTTGTTTCATGGATTATAGAAATCATACATAAAATTAACATTCAACAAGTTGAGATTTATAAGTACTAACAAAAAATTAATACAACAAACTTTCAAATATTAATATGAATGAATTCTTGCTAGCTTCAGACACTGTGTCAAAATCCTCCAAATATATCACTAGCAGCTCTTAGACAGAATCAGAAAAAAAATTATTTTTAAGGTATGTGCTTTTTAATGTTATATACTCACAAAAATATTAATTTATATTATGTAGTGAAGTAAGAAGTTCTGCACATGCTTTTATACAGTATAAAACACACTTTTAGACTATTTAAATTCTTATCTACTAATTATATAGTTTTTATATCAGTAATAAACCTAGTTTTAAAGTTAAAGCATTAATATGGACAATAAAGAAGGCTGAGAATTCAGTGAAAACATCAATTTTATCACAATGTAGGAATGAGTTTGAGCTACTTTAATATTGGAGAAAATAACGTAAGTTAAATAATTAAGTTATATATCTCGGTAATTGGCCCTTTTGGCCACTCAAGCAATATTCTTGCCTCATGGAAACCTCCAACAAGGGCTTCTGTTTGTTTAGATACTCCTCGTTGCAAACGCCATCTGACCATCCGTTTTATGTAGTCTTTTTTGTTTTTCTCAGTCACAACTATTCCACTGCCACCTGGTTTTAACTCTCGTTCTTCAACCTTTCCAGCAACTTCTTCAGTCACAGAAAAGGTTAGGTCAAGAGAGGCCTCAGAGATGTTGTTATCCTTCATCCACATCATTGACTGGTAGAATTCTGTGTCAATGTACTGTAGGTCATCAATTGAACAGGGTCTAATAAAGAAAAGTTTAAGAAACATCAACTGGTAAAAAACAAAAGGTATAGCATTTAAGTTGTGAAACCAACTTAAAAGAGGGATTCATACAAACATAAATAAATTATTTCAATTTTGAAAAGGTCACATGGAAGAAAACATTATGGAATCTCATCAATTCAGTTTTTAATACCAAAGTAAATTAAAGGTTATGGCAAACGGCTAGATTATAATAAAAACAATCATACTAAATGCTAGTTAATTTCTCACTTTATTATATGTAGGTAACTTTCCATCATAGCCACAAGATTCATTGTTTCATCAAGTTGTGGACTTTACCTATTGGTCAGAATAGTATTTTATATCCAAACTTTTCTCATTGTTTTTTAGATATGTTAGTACTGCTACACTTATGGTTATCACATACTATTCTTATTAATTCAACCTCTTAACCCATATCTACCTATCTATCTATGGAGGAGAATAGACAGTGTAATACATTTATTCCTTGTCATCTTAGGTTTTATTATGCTATTCATACAGATGCAATTGTATGTGAACATTACAGGAGCTAGAATATCAACATCAGGAGATAAGTTTTACTTATCATTCGTAGTGGTATTTTGTGAGTAAAATATTTATACTTTATTGTCTTCAACCTCATCAGGAGCAATTAAATTTACACAACTGGTTGCAGGTGATAAGTGTTAGTTTTAGACTTATAGCATGGGACTAAATACTCATATCAGCTATATATGTGAGGCTTGCAGATGAGAGGTTAAACCTGATAAACAGTAAATCTCCACCATCTTAACTGTGTACATACTTTCTATCATTCTGATACCATAGTTTATACCCTAGCTTCACTTGTTTTTGCTATGTGAGTAATGCTATATCTTCTTGTCCTAGTTCTTTCGAAAAACAAAAATGTACAGAGTCAAACAAGAGAATTTTAAAGAGGATAGAAAACATTGTTAGGAAGCTTTCAATTTGCATTATAAAGGTAACATGAGTTCTGCTCATCTTGACCATACTATGGAGGCTGGTTACTTTAAAACATTTTCACTAGCTTTAAAAAAATGGCCTAAAGCCTAAAAAAAAAAGATGTACTCTGATTATCAAAAGAATAATGATTTGGGAAGAAGATTCAATATAATAAGATTTTGTATAGCTTTTCGTAGCTTATCTTAATAAGTTCATCTTTAATTCTAAGTGATATTAAACAAATTAGTTAAGCTTCTGTTGTGGATGATAGATTATAATGTGTTACAAAATACTGAGAAATCTCTACTCATCATGATTATTCACAGCAATTAAAATATATTATACTGATGCAACATAGTTGGAAAACTTAAGTCTGAAAAAGGTTGTGTGTAAAACAAACCTAGGTAACCAGAAGCAGAACACTGATTTAAGTCTTCACATAAATGGCTAGTGTGTAATACTGTGCATTTGTTTTTCTTTGGCCATTTTTTGTAGCTTTCATCAATTTTTTTATTGGATGTTATAAGCACTTATAATTATACCTACATTCTTGTGTGTTGGTTTTGTTTGTTTATTGTTAAACACAAAACTACATAATGGGCTATCTGAACTATTCCAACTGCAAAGACAGAGCCCCAAATTTTTGCTTTATAAACCCTCAAGGTTACCACTGAGAGGGAAGGCTGTGTGTGTTGGTATGCTGTACACATCTCAAGAGCAAATCAAATGGAATTTTTGTGTGCTCAGTATTTCTTTATATTTGGCTTCATTAAACATCATCAGTTATGACATTTAAAATAATGTGTATCTATATTCATGGTAAAACTATTAAAATGATCTGCTCCCATTCTTAATTTTGAACTACTGACGAGAGAGATGGCAGACAGTCAGCAGTACGCTGCCACCCATGCTGAGGGTTTGATTGTAATTGTTATGATGCTCCCAGAGTTTTAACAAACAAATAATATTTTGTGGCATCACATAGACTCAAATCCAGTTCACCAGCTCCAAAATACCAAGTTCTACCACAGGGCCAACCTGTGCCCAGAAAATAATATTGAATAATTAGTTTTTTTATTTTATACTTATGAACACTGTTTTGCATTGTTAGCTAAGTATATGAATTAAAAACTAACCTTAATATTCTAAACTTGTTGAACCTCATGATATCTTAATGGAATTATGGTAAAAAGCATTAACAGTGATGGTAACTAACTGGTGATTTAATAAATTCTAATCATAATATATTTTAGGTTTCTTGTGAATTGATTTATGACATTAAGTACTTATAACCAGTTTGTTGTACAGAATTAGCTTCGTTAATTAATTTAAAAGTTAAATTTTAGTTTATATATGTATCAGTGAACTTACGTTTGATCAGAAATTCTAATTAATAATAACCTGAAAGTGATCCAAGAATAACGTGACCACATCATATCTCTACTGACAAATATGATCTAGGGACACATTCTTGAAGTTCTAAGTATAATCAGAAATATTGTAATTACTTTTCAGCACAAAATTGTTAAATAAGTTAGCTTCAAGAATAAAAATATTTTTTGATTATTAATTTAGATAAGGCATGTAAAAGTTATTAGAGTAAATATAAATAAATTTATAGGATACTACCAGTGTTTTTAAGCATACACCTTTAGCAATAATTGTACATTCAGGTGATTCTAAAACTATAACAATCATCTTGAAGGTTCATTTAGCAATTTCAAGGCACTAAATTTAAACTAAGCAATTAACATTTCATGCAATGAATTTTCAAAACCTAAATGACTTTCGTAGTTGTTCAGTAGTTGACATCCACATAAAGTTTGAGAACTACTAAATATTTCAAATCTTTATAGGGAATATGAAGAAAATTTGTGAAAATACTCTACTTAACATTAAAAAGGCACATAAAAGGTATTTCATATGTTTATTAATTATACTTAACATAATGATTTAGTACCTTCTAATGATTATGTCATTACACTATGCTATAATAACAAGCTTTACAGCATTTACATATAATTATTAACTCAACCTACATCTTAAGCAGTGCCTTGTAAAATGGACGAGTGAAATAAGCATTAAGCAGATACTGATGTATAAGAGCCAGCCCCAGAATACGGCCACAGAATCTGAACAACTTAATATGATTGTCGACAAATGCAGACATAGGACTGATCTGAACAGTGTAACAGTCATTGGCTGCATATTCAAAGAGTCCACAATAGGGATTAAATACCTCAGAGGAAAGAAGGTAAAAAAGCTCTCGTGATGGTCCTCCATAATCAAGCCTAACAGGAAAAAAGGTTACAGCACATCAAAATTAACATTATAAACAAAAGGCAAAGTTTATTAAGTCTTGCTTATAAGCTGTGTAGGCATAACATTATCAACTAATTTTGTTTTTCTTTGGCAAGAACATTTTATCTTGAAAGTCTTCAGTATAAACAAATTTATGAAAGAAGCTTGGTAATCATTTAGTTTATCAAAATTGAGAAAATACAACCTTTTAATACAGCAATACTTATTATATAAACTAGAAATAAGATTGGACACTCTATGGGATAGGAAAACTAATAACAACAGGTGATTCAAAAAGCAGCCACACTATGTCTGAAAATAGATACCACAGTACAACTGCAAATTCATTTGTAGTAGATTTTCAGTTAGATAAGCATGTTTTAAGTAATGGTTATACATACACACCTATATATCAAAACATTAAAGTAAATAATGCAATACATCTACAAAATACACAAATATGTCCTTTAACCACAACCAAATTTTTCATATAGTATTCATATCAGGACTTTAACAAACCTGTTTGTTATTGCATACGTAGAGTATGATTACAATATTTCACCAGATTAACCAAGTGAAGCATTGTAACATTTATTACTATACATAGTATACTCTGTTTATCTGATATTAGACAAGTTTTTCAGTTATAATAAAAGAGTATGAAAATTTACCTGAATATACCATATTAAAATTATATTCTGTATTAGTTATGAAAGGGTAAAATATGGTGATATTAATTTCATTACATATGTCTGGTGCTGAATAATTATGTAGGTGTGACTTTCTACTATATTACGATCATGATCATGACAGTTTTTGGTTGAGTTGCATATCAGTGGTATATTGCAGTTTCTAAATTTAGCAACAAATTTAGGTTCAGCAACAAACTCTCCTCTTCTTCAAAATGCATACCTAATTTCAATTCAATCAAGTTTTACTCTACATTAAATTGATTATTTGAAATCTGCACCAGCTGCAACTGTCCCAAGACATGTTTGAAGATGTAGTCCCATAATATCCCTGATGTTTGCTATAAGATAGGACTTTGAAATCTGGATTAGCTGCATCAATTAGAAAGGAGGTTTTGAAATCTAGTAACACAATATCTCTAGCCTTTAATATAAGTCAAGTGCTTTGAAAACGGAATTAGCTACATGCATCACAGGGGCACATTTGGTGCAATAGTACACAACATATCTTGTCACTTTCTTAAACTGATACAATGAAATATAGACTAGTTATAAACATCATACACGTCACTGATGGATAGAGTAAGACATTTTTACCAAAGTGCAGACATATCCTTTCACCGCATGCATCACTGTGAAAACATATTTTTATTTTGCCAATAAGGCTACATCAAATTTTCAATAGACCATCTTGATTTCTGAAACAGACATAAGAATTAAATCTTGGACATTATGGAAGATGTATTTCAATATGCTATGTGGCTCCTGAGTCAGAAAAGAAGGTAAGTGTTTTTATAGCTAGCTGTTTTGAAAATTTAAATTTACATTTGGATAAAGACACTGATTATACCACTGCAAAAAAAGGAAAAGATGAATAATTAAAAATAGATAACCATGTTGAATTTTATGGGTGACTCGTTTGCCTCTAGTTTACATAATAGATTGAATATTTACATTAGGGTTTCTGGCTTAATACTAGATATCTCAAGCAGGTGCTAAATTATGCTATAATAGATAATGTGTATATTTACTTGATAGATTTCAGTCTTTTTTTACAGACTTTAGCAGTGTATTTAATTCAAATTACTATAGTAATTTTCTAATATCATTAGTAAAGAAAACTTACAAACTAAAATGCTTAATATACTAATTAATATGGATCTAATGTTAAAGTATTGGTAAAAATATGAGGGAGAGGGCTATAATTGCTTACTCTGAATTCTTTATGAGGTTAAAAGGCTCAATACTGGGCCCTTTGTTATTTATAACACTTATTTCAGAGTCAGAACAAGAGCTTTATTGGGATAATGATATTGATGTTAATAGTGGAGAGGACAAAATAAAGGTTTTAATGTATTCTGATGATATATCATTGGGAAGTGAATCGATTTAAAATTAACAAGAAATATAACAAACACATTAGAAACATCATGTAATAAATGGGGTTTAAAAGTCTGTATAATTTGTTGAATTTCATCCAAAGCTACTTGAGGGCTATTGGCACTAGCCATCCCTAATTTTAAAGTGATGGACCAGAGGGAAAACAGCTAGTCAACACTATCAACTTACTGGTTATTCTAATCAAACAGTGGGATTTGGCCATCACTCTTACCAAAGTGCAGGATGTGATTAATATTTTTTGGCAGTAAGTTGGTATGAACCACAGAGGATTTAAAAGTAAACTTAGCAAAAAAAGTAATGGTACTTAGAAAAAGGTACTATTGTAAATTATTTTGAAAAATGTATTTTCTATTTACTTTGCTAGTCAAATAATCCAATTAATTTTATTTTATCATCTAGGTGAAATTTTTTGTCTTCTTATCTTTGTTTATGTTATAAACTAATGAATGTGTATTGGATGATAAAGCTTATTTATTCAGTATTAAATTAAATAAATTTCCCTTTAAAAGGAACAAGTGGTTATCAATAATGGGAAACTATTAGAAAAATTCAGGATCAGTTTTGTACAAATTATTTTGTAAGTTGATAAATTTACTTCTAATACACCTTTTATTATACCATATGATTATAAGCTAAAGCTTGAATTAATATATTGACCCTGTAATAGATATGTAATATTGACTAAAAAAAGTTAAAAATGAAACTATAATAAAAATTCATTCATTAAAAATTAGTAGCTTGTTTTTCTCATTTGATTTGGTGTTGTATGAAAGAAATGAGGAGTTAATGACACATATATCCACCTACATATATTTATTAAAAAAACTACCTTGAAGATGAATATCAATTTTTAATGAATGTCTTGTTTATAATGAAATGTGTTTGAATATTTCCCTTACATAACAAAAGGATTTAGCAACTAATTTTAATATGCTCTGCTTGGTTACAGTGCATGATAATCTTCTCTTTCAATTTTTTTATGATGTATACTGATGTACTTTTACCTACAGCCTGTAACATTGAATAAACTAAGAACTGGCAGCTAGTTGACTGTTCAAAATTGGGCTATCAAAACCTCATAGTCAATGAAATTTACAAAAGTTGACACTTTCCTTACCTGAAAATGTATTTCAGATAGATACTTACCTCTCTGCAACGCAAAGAGCTATTACCTTGTGCACACTGCTGTGTAAGCCACAATCATTTAATAAAACTTCCACCTTTACATGTCACCATATAGTGAGCCAGTCTATAATATAATCGTCATTAGACTATAACCCCTCCATAAATAATATGGCAATACATCCTCCATGAGTACTAGCACGTGATCACAGGCTCATTTTTGATGAGATAAAGGGTGGGAGGTGGTGCAGAGATAAATGTCTATCTGAAATATATTTCAGGTAAGGAAAATGTTGACTTCAGAAATGCTATTCATTTCTTTACACCACAAAGAGCTAGAACCACACATTAAAGATGGTAGATGGGACAGTGCAGAGAAGTTACAAAGATGAGCTCTTTTCATCAATTAACCTCTGTACATTTACATAATATAGAAAGATCTTCAATAATGCTGAATAATGTCCTATTTCTAAAGATATCTCACTATTTACATGTGAAAATGTATAAAGATGATAAAAACAACTGTTGTATCGTTCTCATATATCTCACTCCATAACAAAGTCCTATTGCTATAAACTAAGAAACTGACAATACTTCAAAGATCTATCAAGATACATGGTAGTGTGTTGTGCTGCCAAAACAACCTGCTGCAGGACATATTATGCATTATTAACACGAGTGATAGTTAAGCAATTTTCCACCTTCTATATATCGAACTGTGGTAATCTAAACTATCACATATTTTCAGTCGATATGCTCTACTGGACTCTTACTTCACATACCAAATTTCAACACAATCCATTAAGAAATATCTGAGATATAACATCTCCAATTCATATTGAGTTTCTTTCTATTTCATTCTTTGCATCAAAAGTACGGAAACTTTATTTGATAAAATTATATAATTAACTTTTATGGATTCTTTTCAAATTTGGTACACGGATAGATCTTTTCAATCTACAATTAGGATTCTCATTTGGTGTAAATGTAAGCTACATGTGCAAAGTTATTCAACAAAAACAGCTCAAATTTAATGAAAATTTTTCAACATGCCCATTGAGCTATTGATCTAACATTTTTACTACAGTTTCATCTAAGAGTAAAGTACAGCTGATTTAGAGCAGCAAGACTCTAAGGTAAAAGGATGTGCTGATACATAAGTATTGGTTAGGCCAAGCAAACTAGATTAGCAGCTTTTTAGATTAAGTGTTCAAAAAAATCATATCGGTGGATGGTTATTATTGGTTCTGTAAAGTAAAAGTATGTTCCAACTAATAGGGTTGTGATCCTAAAGCTAATGTGGGTTACTATTGAGTGTCATTTTCTTACTTGCTGTGGTTTGTTGATGTATATTGACAAAAAGTCATGATATTTAATTAAAAACACCTTAGGTGTGAAAAAAAGGTGCAGCCAAATAAGGATTTAGTGTACAACTTAAAGGAATGAAATCAAAATTGGTGGCCTAACTGGTAGTTACCCTTATAGCAAATATTCATTCAGTAGTTTGGTTGGCCACTTATTTTGTTTTACCCACCATCATGCCCCAAGTCGAACAAAAATGCAGACTGGCTAACTTATGAATGAATATTTGCTGTAAAATTCTTATCAATGCTATAAGTGTAGCTACCAGTTTGGCTGCCAATTCTGATTTCATTCCTTCAAGTTGCACACTTTGCAATCCTTTTTTGGCTACACCTTTTTTTCACACCTTATGTGTTTTTATGATGGACGAATGGGCAAGGGACTCAAGTACAATTAAGTGGAACAAATTATCACAAAGTTAGAAGTTTTTGAAGGAAATATTCAACTTACAGTCCAATAGAATTCTGAGTTAAAGAAATTAGGTTGATGAACTAATTTGAATTCTAAATTGATAAAAATAACATAAATACCTGTACAGTACCAAGGTGGGTGTGGAATTTGAATTTTATCAAAAACAACAATACACAACAGGACATAATATGAACTAACAAGAAAAAATTAATAAGTCCATAATAAATGTAAGAAAAATCAAAAGCATATAAAAAAAAATCCTGTTTTAGACAATTTGAATGTAAAAGCTGAAACTGGTCATATCATTGCAAATTTATAACTTACTATTATATATATATATATTAAGATTATACGTATACATAAAACTCTTCAGGTTCTAAATATATTATCATCCGTTGTTGCTTTATAGGTTTTCTTTAAGGCAGACCTTTGAACAGTACTGTTAGATTTTTAGGTATAAATCAAATATATATATACTTATTCCTGCAAAAATGATTAATTTTACCTTGTCGTGTTGTATTTTGTATTAAAATGACTTACCCTTCTTCACCTATGAAATTAACATTCAGTCTGTTTTTTTGAAGTTCTTTTTTTGATGCACTTAATATAATAGAGATAGTTTCTCCAAGGAAATATTCTCGATGTATTGCCAATCTAGAAAAAAAAACATAAATTAATATGATGTCAGGTAATCTATTCTAAATATTACTAAAAAAAGCTATATTGCACTTACAGTAAAAAAAATCCTAAAATAATCAAACTGTGAAATATTTTACAGTTATCAAAATGTTGATAACACAGGATCAGTATAGTCATGGGCATAATGAAAAAGAGCTTATAAAATTTAAGTTACAATTTCAACAAAATCAATCATATATATATATATATACTGAGTTGAGTGCTTACACCCACAACATCTCAGTGAAATGCAATAAGAGTAGATATGTTGTGGGTGTAAGCACTCAACTCTGTACCTTTATTGAATTTTCCACGACTGGTGACTGGTTTCTCATCTGCTTTTTGGATTTTGTCTGATAGATGAGATATCTCCAAGGCTTTTGGGTGCTATTACCACAGGCAATCTCCTTTATAACTTTTGGATAATGACCAGAAAGTGTGAAGGTTTTTTTGTTGTTTATTTAAATAGAGTTTTAAATTTATAATAAGTTCTTTATTTTTTTATTAGTGCTAATCTTGATCGCCTATTGACAATTAATGTAATTGATATAATAGTTTTGAAGCTATACCTCTTATTATTATATATATATATATATATATATAATGATATTAGCTTGCTTATAATTTTAATTTCTACCTTCTGGTAATTCACTAACAGTAATTCAAAAATATCATGTGAATAGTGAAAAGTTGTAAGCATTCAAGCATCTTTTATTAGTATCTACTATATGCATGGTTACTGTGGTTAATTTTTATGTTATATAAAACGTGTCTATGTTATATAACCTTTTGAAATGAAAATAAAAGTTCACAAACAAAGTTTCATTGTGTAGCACAAATTCTGTAAAAAGGTTTCCAGGATTATAGTTGAGTTGAGGTAGCAATCCCAGGGTTTGTGCTGACTCCTCATGAGGACATCAGCTGCCTTGGAGGAGATAGAAGAGAGTTCCTTTACTGATGTTATCAGTGGCCTTCTAGCTATATACTGTCCTACTGGTTTCCAATCTTTTTTTTTCTAGTCACGCCATATATTATTTTGCTTTTCAGCAGTCTCATTCCATCTGAATATTAATGAAGACCTTTCATAGCTGTAGTTTTTGCCTTAGTAGTGTAGAGGGGTTGATATTCTCCCAGTATAGATATGTTGAGTTGGATATAGGGGCTTCTCTTGCAAACTTCCTCATTTAGCTTTACTCTAGCTTTTTCTGGCATATACATCTAGGTGATAGTTTTACCATACATTTGCTTTGCTTTCTACCATCCACCTGGGGAATACCACTCTGAATTTTACACTACGAGTCATTTGCAAACATTACGTTGGTGGGATTGTCTTTTTTTTGTGGCTCACTGCTTTCAGAAATCCTGAGGAGAGCTTGCTCTATGGCTTCCAGCTCACTTCTTGTTCTGCTTGTGGGAAGCTTGAATGCTCTATTAGGCTATGTAGATGTTTGTTTCTCTGCAAGAAGATAAATGCTCAATAAGCTCTCTCACTATCTGTGGTGTAGGAAATGTCTGTAGCTACGATGACAGGTGACTGGCTACCATGGTCTTTAAATTGGTTCCGAGAAGCATTTTTTTGATTCACCTTCTGCCCAATCTCTACATTTTCTCTTTAGGATGATCTCCACAGGTCTCAGTAATGCCAAGTGTTTATTTCATACGAGGGCATCTGAGATCTAGTGATGGCCAATTCTCCCAGTAGTGGCTATAATAGCATCTGTTTACTCATGATTGTCTAGAATTATATAGCTAGATTAAATCAAATTTATTTCAAATTATAGAATGAACAATTCCAAAACCATAACCTGTTTCTTTCATCATTCTGTTTAATTCATTTAAAACTTGTTTTTGGTAAGAAAGTACACTAGTGAATGCTAAAGGATTTGTAACAGTTTTTAAAACTATGTTAGAAAACTTATAATACTTATTTACAGAGTACGTCATATCAAAATTATTTTGGAGCCTCATCACGTTGTTATATTCTATGATGTCAAATCTCATCATTCTCTATCTAACAACTGTGCATCTTAAAACAGTTTCCACTGCCAAAGGCTCTGTCATAAGCTGTCATGTTCAAAGCATACCTTTCCCCTCTGCAGTTTCCATAATCCATGTAGCGTACGAGGACGATGGTCTTCAAGCACCAGTTTCAACAGAAATCAATAGGCATTGCATCCAGTAACTTGACCAATATGCTTTTATAACAAACAGAATGAATATCCATTTCATTCTCCATCTGCTTCAGCTATGCAACTGGTTCACTGATATGTCATCGAAGCAACTTGTGTGTATGAGACTTTAAAAGTGTTTTCATATACCTCACTCAATCTTCTGCATTATGAATATTTATATTATTATATTTACACTAGTATAAAAGCCTGTTAAAAATGATGGGAAACCATTTTTGAATGATTAACGAAAATTACAGAATTTAACTAAAACGAATTTTCTGCACCTCGAAAATGCACCTACTCTTCACTTATTTCATCAGTCTTGAAATAATTCTTGAAGCACCAAATTTTTAGTGAAAACTATGCAGAAAAATTAAATGTTAACATGAACAAAAGTACATGTGCACTTTGAAAGAGACTTAAAT